TGTTCGCTAACATGCGCTTTAAAAAATCTCACTATACCCTGTTTGAAGAAATTTTAAAATAATACAATTGAAGTAAAATAAACATTTAGAATGTTGTTTTGTAAGTTTTTAAGTCATTTGGTCTTTATATGTGCGTCTCTATACGTTTGTAACAGATCTTTGTATTTTTTTGTTTTAACCCAAGATTGGCATACGATGCACGTTCGAGTCCAATTAGATCTAAGGATTTTTTCTTTGTGTTCGATCTTTGTGTGAAATATTTTTTTTTGTATTGTTAGTTTTAAGAGTTTTTTACTGTAACCATCGTTCTATAAACCGACTTCAAAAAAGGAGAAGGTTCTCAATTCGACAGTATTTTTTGTGTGTCTGTTACGCGATTTTGATGATCTTTTTTTGTTGGGTTGTATTGGTTCCATTTAAATGTGAAGAAAATATTCCACCTTGCTAGGGTAGCAAACTAGGAGATGAATCCGGTTTCGCGCACTTTCCGATAACCGATTTCAATAAAACTTGGCAATTAGATGAAATTATATCTAACTTCTGTGGTCGGTTTTTTTATAAAATAGTTACATTTAAATTTGACAGCTGTTCACAGTATTGAGATTCGGCTGTATTCCTGGTTACCATCAGAGTTTTAACATTTACAGCAAGCCAAAATCACATTCCGAGTCCCCGGGATTTAAAAGAAGAAAAATATATTTTAAGGAGACGTTTCCATACTTCGATAGCAATTCACAGGAAAAAGTGAACTTTAGATATCAAAACATCCAAATATCTGACTACTACTTATAATTCAAAACAAAATTTAACTCAACAAACATTTAACAGCAGATCGGGCAGTTTCCTCACATAAAAATTCCGTGACATTTAGAAGTACAACCAATTAAGGACGACATTGATCTCTGTAGGTACTATGTCATAATCCATGAGTCATCATTATCAGTTAACCTGTAAACCAGAATATTTTAGCTTTTAAACAATATTTTGTTCATGATCGCCTGTGCAATGTCCACAAGGGATGGGTTACTATTAAAAGCCTTATTCGCTTGTTGCTTTTAATTCCTTTGTTGTCTGTCCTGTAGTTTTTGTGTTGTTGTTGATTTATTAAACGAATTATGTTCTGATTGTAATATTCCTGTTTATACGAGTAACGGTAATATTATTCTTATGGAACTTATGACATCCGATAATGTTTCGCTTGCCCCATTGCATCATTCGTGGGCATTTACTTGGATTACATAAACATCTGGCCGTACGTTATTTCAAAATATCGAATCAGATTTTATGCGGTGATAGCGGACAGGTTCCTGTGTTCATGCTAATTAAAGTTTTGAAATTCAGGGGACAGAATGAAGTACAGTGTGATTAGAGAGAAGTGTGGCGTGATAGTATGTAGCGACTAGGGTTATAAAAGTACCTAGTCATATAATAAGTGGTAAGAATGGCTGCTTGTAGATCATGCTGTTGGTCGAAGGTGATATAGGCTTTGTTAACTCGTTAGTAATAATAAAAGAAAAATTGTTATAATTTTTTATTATTATTATTATAATTAGAATTCCAAATGAATAAATTCTAAATTCTGTTAAATTCTCTGCCTGTTGTACACAGCAAAATACTCCTTGTTGCTAATGCAGTATGGTCGGTGGTCGGCATGTATGTCATATGAGGTTTTAAGGTTTGTTATTTCTGTAGTAAATGTATATAGCGAATAAAGTATCCTCTTATATAATATTTATTCGAAAAGATACCCGTCTCAACATGCTACTGTGTCTCCAGCGGAGAATACTTGCGAGGTGAAACCCGAAAACCAGGAAATTGCTCAGACTTTTATCTTTTCCTACCTTTCTTAGATTTAAGCAATTGTTTTGTGTTAAATGTTGTATGTTTTCCGTTGAGTAATAAAGTTTTTTTATTATATTTTTTTTGTATGGAAAGAATGTATGTTAGACGAACATCGTCAGAAATTTACTAAAAAAGCGAACAGGAATGTCGAAAACAGATCGATTAATATATTGTATTTTCGGTGAATCAGTTACTTAACTTAAATCAGTAAATATCGATTTTTTTAGGTTTTAACGATTGTTACATATAGAAATGATACTATTTTTCGTGTCTAAACCGCGCGTATTCATTGGTGATCACGGTTGAAACCTCTACAGAGCTTTTAAATGATAAAAGAAAGAAAGAACTCAATTTCGATCTCAACACGTTGTTTTGTCTCGAATATCAAGTTGTGCGTATAGTTTATAGGCCTCAAATACTGAGGTTCACATGAACGAATTTGTAAAATAATAATTTTATTTTTCGGTTTCATTGATTGCAAGAGTAGACCATAACTGATGAAAAAATGTTTGGAAAGAAGTAATGACTTCTCGACGGAAGGAGAAAATGGTGTACTTATTTTCTTAACATTTCAAGCGGCCGACTACAATTACAAATATATAAGATTACGTAATACATAATTGTATCAGTTCGTGCAATATTATTGTGTAATTTGTACTAGTCGAAAGAACTATTAGCAAAGTTGGCGCCTTACCACCTCAGAAATCTTATTGCATGTCATCAGTAGCGACTACTCGCAGCTTACTTCTGCTTGTCAACCAATGCGTTTAAAGACTATATCATGATACAACAGATTTTATAAAATATACCTAATGATATACATTAAATTAATACGAGGAATAAAAAGAAACTACTCACAAATTTATTTAAGGAGAAATCTATACGCTTTAATGAGGTTCTGGTCGATAGTCAAAATTTGCCGTTTGCGGAGTTTAATACTTTACTGAAACACATTACACTAAAGGTCAAAAATATATGGTAGTGACCTGTTCAGCTCACGCAGGCTATTTCGGTCGATTTAACAAAAATATTGTAAACGATTGTACAAATATGTTTATTTACAAAGAGCAACTTTTTTACTTATTCTTCTCTGACAGATCTACCTTACTAATGTTTAAATCAGGTTATTTCCCACAATAATGCATAAAATTGAGGTCAAAAACTATATACCACTAAGTCTTTTTGTTGTAAATCGATTTTCTTTAAAATTTAATGGTTTTATTACAAAATGTTTATTGCTTTCTTATCTAGACTTCGTTTGCCTTTCTATTGAATTCGTTCGCTTGAAAATCGCATTTATTTCAATAAATAATTAGATCGTATGCCCTTGAATCGACTTTCGTACAATGAAATCGTAATCATCCTTCATAGTGAGAATCCACAGGATTGCAACGTAGGTATTATGAGGAGTTACCTCTTTTTCATCTAGAAATAATTTTTTTACATCAAAATTTGTAATAAGTATGGAATTATACTGAATTCCGTGTTTACTAATTTTGGGCAGATTTCTTTCTTTTTTTTTGAAATATCAAGCGACGGAACGAACAAGTCGTGTGCCTGATGGTAATCTCATATTATTAAAAAGGATGGACGTAGATGGTAGAGTGAAATACGTTTATTTAAAGAGACATGTTTATTGTTCGGTCTCCAGAATATAAGTGAGTAAATAATACAATATTAAATAAAATGTAAACTTAAATGCTGACCAAGCAATACGCACCACATGTTGCAGTTAGACTATAAATATAGTCTATCTATACTACAGCAAGCTACCCGCTTATCAATAACAATTGCAGTGCGACTCAGTGATTTAGGTCGCAAAGATTTGAGGTGCACTGCCACTGCGCCCGTCACCCTGACACATAAGTTGACAAGTCTCATGTGCCTGTAATTTCATCAGCACCCTTACCTTTCAAAACCGGACACAGTAATGCTGACATTACTGCTTGGCGGCAGAAATAGACACTATGGCAGTACTTCCCTAGATGAACTCTTTCACAAGGAGCTCTACTGCTACTAAAGAAATGGATTAAAACCCGGTGATTTGGAAAAAACCCGTTTAAAACTCAGGCGGGTTTTTACTGTACTGCCCATTTCTTTAGTAGAGTTTAATTAATATGACAATTTGAAGTGTAATTTTCGTACCTATGAAATAAAGATTATTTGAGTTTGCGTTAGGCCACAATTTTATTATAAACAAGTTTTCACTAAAAAGTGTCAACAATCTTCTCTTGCAAACAAAACTGAGACTGATAGGGCTTCAACTTTGGTGATAGTACCAAGACCTTAAGCCTGGTTACTTATTTTAGAGTTGAAGCTCCAAGTTCGTATTGTAGAAAGAAAGAAAGGCTTTCTCAAAAATTATATACAATGAATTATGGACCGACTGGGATAGTCAAGGGCTAGGAACTTCTTTGCTCAAGGTGTTAGTAACGCAAAGCTACTTAAAATTTCATCTTTCCAGTCCTTTAAGCTTGTAATGTATGTCAGCCATTTGTATCTTTATAAATAAACTAATATGTATTATGCAAATAAATGTAATCCACTTTCGATGTGTCACTAACACTACAATGGCCTGAAGGATGTCTTTCGTACTGTCGGCACCATAATCTGCATTTTGCATTTCATTTGACTTAATTATTTAGCTCTCGATTAACTCTGCAGAATAGATTAGTGAATGAGGCCATCCAACGCTGGTATACATGTCTGTTTGTATTCTAAGGAAGTATACTCGCGATTTACCTTATGCCTTCCTTTCTCGTTTCATTATTTTTGTTTATTTTCCTTTTGCTTCCTGTTTTTTTTCCGTTTCTTTAGGAGTAACCCAATTAAGCTTCTTCTACAATAAATCATACGAAAATACTTCTCATTTTAAGGTAATGGGATCTTTTTTAAATTAAATTTGCTTTAACCGAAAAGAAACTCGAGTGAAACCGTAATTGGAACCTAACCGCATAAAAATTTCTAGTGAAACTCTTCACAAGTCTATCTAAATATTAAACCATATTCACAACAAGATGTTAAGTATAGTTTGTCTGTAAATAGATTTACCAATATCTACAAAAACTTCTAGGCACTTTTTGTAAACATTTTTTCTATAGTAAAGTACTGCGGGAGTGGTTCAACCAGTTCCGTATCCCACTGTTAAACAAACTCACCATCATCATCGACGTGTGCATGTTGTCCTCAATTCTCTAGTCCCATCTGTGTAACACGGGATTCAAACCCGAGCCTTCCAGCCCGCTTACATCATAAGCGCCAAAATAACTCCCATCGAAAAACTCACGTCAATCAACAGCCCACAAGGTTACACTAACTAGCACTAAAATTGAAACAATAGAACGGAAAACAAACTGTAATCAAAGTCAGTATTGTCAAAACAAATTGTAAAGGTATACCACTTGAGGATGATGAGGGAATTGTCACCAAAACAATGCACAATAAAGTTTATAAATACGTAATTTTCGAAACGTAAACAGAGAACATACGAACGCCACCTCCGCCTCTCAGCACGACACTGCACTGACTGACTGACTACACTTCCATAGCCCTACAGCGTCTACGGATTCAATCTACCTGATATTGCCCACTCTTTCCAACACTCCTAAAATTTACACGAGTAACAAAGACGGATTCAGAACTCTCCGATCCCTCTACATCTGCATTTCATTGCACTTGCAGTGAAACCGTTTACTTCAGTTTTAGTGTGATAGAGTTCTAAAAGTTAACTTCAAGCTCACTATCTTCGATAGAAACAACATTGTTGGAACTCTGTCGCAGTGACTCAATCGTATGTATTTTGGGATCTTAGGAGCGTAGTATCAAACGCAGGCAATTGTTTTGAAAGATCCGCGTGCCTAAATTAATTATAAACGGGATTTATAGCTTGCGGTCTGGGATGCTTCTGAACCCATGCTTTAGCAACATTTGCTTAAGAGCAATTTGTTTCATACTCTTTTTGTATACAATTCGTATGATTTTTAGAATTTTACATTTGACAAAATACTCACAAGAAGAATAATAAAATTAATTATAATGTATCACTCGCTCTTTGATAAATCGCCAAGAGCTGCATAAAAACTCTTTGGAAGTATCAAAAAACAGAACAAAAAATCGACACCAATGTAGTGCTGGCACTATGACGCACTAGTGCCAAAATCTAAAACTTTCCCGAAAAAACTGAAAAATAACTGAGTTTCATTTGTTAACATATTTTTTTTATTTTAGTTAACTGCCTCCGTGGCCGAACGGTTACCATGCCGGACTGCCACGCAGAGGTCCTAGGTTCGATTCCCGGGCCGGGAGAAATATTTGTATGGCCTACATTTATTTCTCTCGTGAGTTTGGGTGTAATTTGTGTTTGTCTATGTATGTGTCCATGGCACCCGCGACACAGGGTTTCCCTAGTGCGGGGCTATGTTGAGTGTGTGCGTTATTATGTTATTATTATTTATTAATAATTTTGGCTTGGATACAAGTCCTTTGAGCCATGTCTTCATTTAATTATGTTTCTGTAAATATGGCCGCCACAAAGAGTATAGGCAATTTGAGGCGGCGTGCTTGGATTGACTCGGGATTCCTTAGAACGGGCCGGTACGGGTATTTTAGTTCGAAATTCGTACAATTTCCCGTTTTAATCTTCGATTAAGGCACAATAGCACTATCCTATTCCACTTTAAACTAAATTTCACAAAATAATTGAAAGTCAAAATAAAAACGACACTTTTCCCTCCCAGAGTGAATCCATATGTTAACATAAATATTTAGTACACGCTTTGGTTGTTCTTTTAAAGTAGCACTAAATGTGCCAAATTAGTTTTTTTTTAATGGACACCAAATAGAGAAGTTGTTGGAGTTTAAAATCAAATAATCTTTATTTCATAGGTAAACCAATTATAGTTGCAATCGTCATATTGAAGTAGAGCTCCTTGTGAAAGAGTTCGTCTAGGGAAGTACTGTCATCTTACCTATTTCTGCTGCCAAGCAGTAATGCGAACATTACTGCGGTCCGGCTTGGAAGGGTAATTACAGGAACATGGGCCTTTTCACAGCGAGAGTGCATATGCAATATTTAGGTGTGCATGCTACATGGTCGACCTCATTGTCACTTTCCACCAGGTGAGATTGATGTCAAACACGCACTTATCATTTTATTAAAAAAAACTTATGTCTCAGGGTGACGGGCGCAGTAGCAATGCCCCCAAGACCTTTGCGATTTAAAGCTGCAAATGGCACCGAATCTGTTCAGAAAAAATCTCTACTGCTCATTCGCACGACAGATTCCCCGGAGAAGAAATAGCAAGAAACTCTAGGGGTTGCTCTTTGTAAATAAAGATCTTTAGGTACACTTTTATCATTTACAATATTTATTTCAACCACGGATTTTTGTCATCCAAGTACGAAGAAGCTGTATATAAAGTTTTTGTTTCACCATAGTTTGAATCTAGTAAGTCATAAATTTTTAACATGTAGGTATGTAGAAGTGTTGTATACAACTTTGATACGAATAAAGTGCTTTTAAAATAATAAAAATTGTCATTGCCACAAGGGACTTGAGGTGTCGCACATGAAACCAAAAATGGTAGAATTGAGTAAACAAGATTGGCAAGTTTCAAAAAAATTATTGAATGAACTTTAGGATTAAAAAATTATTTGTATATAAGCATATTTTTTAGTTATACGCTTATAAACGAGAACATATTTTTTTTAATTCAGTTATTTTTTGAACTTTCAAAGCATGTCTTCTCGATTTCATCATTTTGAGTTACGATAGAATTTATTATAATTTGGTTTCATCATGATTATATGTTAAATCACCGCTTGTTCGCTCTCTGCACTGTTGTTACTGTGTTAAAGCGCTTCTCGTATCTGCACCTTTTGCAAGTAAATGGGTGGCTGTGTGTGACGAATGTTTGAAGTTTTCTGGATGAGAGACTGTGATTTACTATCAATATTATCTAGTTATGAATTTCATAGTGTCTTGGAAATTCTGTGTTTAAATAAACAAAACAAATGATGAGGAGGAGGAAAAAAATGAGGACATTTTTAAGGATAACCCAGTATTGCAAATCATAGGCGATGTTATCCACTATGCATCAGGAGAACTATCTTTTGCCGAATTGGATACTATAAAAGAGCGTTCTTCGAGCACCGCTGTTCAAAGTCAAAACTCACCTTCCGTTGACTCACAACCTCGAGGTCATTCCCGGTCCACGAAAATAACCGAGTTTCGTAAGCTAACGTAAATATTTTAACTTTTTCACGGCCGACCTGCATGACGACTTGTCGTACGGAAATACACCGGTGTTCTAGGATTTTTCAGAATATTTTCTTGCGAACGTGGAATAGTACCTATGTACGATTTCTTTTCTTTGATTTTATATATAATGGCATTCACCATTTCTCCAAGGTAACGATGTTTTTTCCTAAGCTCGAAGGTCGTCAATCTAAAGTCATATAATATAACAAGATATGTATTTAAGTGATCATTTTAAATTTGCAAAGGCAGCAAGCAAAAAATCTAAACGGTCATCTTTTTTAATGGGTTGATCCTTTTTCTCTGAGACATAAAATAAATTCAATCAATATATTTTTTAATCTGTTCTCAGCTACGCAAAAAATGTTTGATTTGTATAAATAACTTTGATAGTTTTATGTTGGGCCTCAACACTCAGACAAACGAGCATTAAAAATCAAACTTAGATACTTATTTTTAAAACTAAGTAAACGTTGATTATATTTGTATACTAATATTGTATTTGTATTTGCATATTAATTATAACATAATTTGACCTGAAAACGTGTACGGAAACGCAAGCAAATTGGCTTCTGGCACTCGCCGGCCGCTGTTCGGGGGGTCCAAGTATTATTTTTGAATATCACATATTAATTTAGTATGCTTAAACATAATGATTGTGTTGAAATCGATCTTATTACTTATTTAGTACCAATAAATGCTATTACTATTGCGATTTAAATCAACAATAAAAAATTAATAACTAGTAGACTAGTAACTACTTGATACACAATCGATATTTGATCAACAATCAAAAAGTTTATTGTAGTAACTTAATTAGTAACTAATTGATATCAGTAATCGAATTATTTCGATTATGTTTATGATCGAATAATTCGATTATTTTTAGTAACTATCGCCCATCACTATTTTGTATACATATTTATGTATCATAGATCACGTACGTAGTCGACATGAACGGACTCTACATTTCCAACACTGCCCCTTATTTTAAAAGATCCTTTTTTTTGTATTATTCCAATTTGGCTCTCAGTACCCTTAGATCCGGAACACGGCATTACTGTAGCATCCTACTTCTACCAGAAATATTTCCCAGTAATAGGCCCCAAAGGTACCAGTGTAGCGTAATTTACCTAAAAACAAATATCAGATACGGCACACATGCCGCATAAAATGTAAATAGTACGCGTACCTGCACGGAGTCGATATATTTTATACTTAGATACACATATCACTATCGGAATGTCGATTCCCTAGCGAAGCACAGCAGTCTTTTTTTTGTCAGTCCTGCACATTTGCCCGCGCAAAATATTTTTTTATTCTTTTTTTTAAAAAGATTTATGGCCCGATTGCAAGGCAAAGTCCTATTTTCAGTAGAATTTTATTTCCCTAGACACATAGATTCAAAATTATGGCTTTGTCTTGCTTGAAATGTCTATTTAATGAAATATATTATAAAATGATTTTTACTTACCTTCAAATACAAAATACGAATAGTTAACTTCATATGAAAATGCATCCCTATTTTTATACCTATTGATTTATAAAGCAGTGTTTCAATAAAAAGAAGTATCACGATTGTTTACGTTTAGTTAAGTACCTAAACAAATGAACTATACGTTTTTGGACGAAATAACTTTTTTACTCTTAAGCGCATCATGCTTAAAATGTATATAGACTCTTGTTTAGTAATAAAATAAAGGTGTAACCTTAAACTGTCATTTAATTATTTCTAGTAATTCTGTTTTTCGTGCCTCTACTCTAAAATCAATTTATTGGTTTTTTGATACGCGACGTGCTTGTCCATATGAGTTGCAGTGCCACGAGCTTTAAATCGCAGAGATCTGAGGGGCACTGACACTGCACCTGTCACTCTGTAATATAACTTGGCAAGTTCCATGTACCTGTAATTTCACCTGCACCCTTCAAAATCGGAAAGAGTGTGCAATGCTCACATTACTGGTTGGCGGCAGAAATAGGTAAGGTAGTAGTATCAAATCTCAAATATAACTCGTTTACATTCAGTAAGCGCTTTTTACTTATTACACGTCGCAACTTTCGAGACCTGCGAATAGATTTACGTGTAATATTGCAATATAAAGGGTAAAAGAAATGTGATTTCGCAGGAAAGTCATGAATTCTCAATATACAGTCTTATACGCATTGGCCGAATAGACATATTTATACAGTCTCAAATACAAAAATGCTAAATTTATTAGAAGGTGGCG